CTCTCTCTCTCTCTCTTCCCTCCCACATATCCATACTGCACTGTACATTTGTAGAGCTGTTCATAACTGCATTCAGCCACAACTGCAGTGTCCTCTAAGGCAGTAAGTGATGACCTCACTGGTGGAAGCTGTCCCGTTATGGCACACATCCAAAAGAGCTTTCATTTTGCTCTCCGCCTCACAAGAGCAGATGGTGTAGATCACACTCTCTGACGCTATGCCGACAGGCATAATGGAGCAACACAGCAATGTTTTCTTTGGCAAACAAAAGACACCAACTCCAACGTTATATGCTATCTGATAAGAAAAACACTGACTTAAATAATGAAAAACAAATAAATTATAATTTTTAGGAAATACATGAAACAAATCCCTTTATGGTTAAACCACAGTCAGTGCTCTTTACCATATGGTCATGGGGCACTGTGAGCAGGCTTGACTGTCTCCAGTGAAGGTCACAGTGTGATCCCACAGTATGAAAATGGAATGAGCACTGGCATGTTGTATTAATAGCCTCCATGTGTGGTACTACCCTAACTATGACATGCATTATAGTGGGGATCTTATCCATTTTTTTTTCACACAAACTATTGTACAACATATTAGAAAAATACCAATCTTAAGGTTTTATTATTAATTTAAGACCTAAAAAAATATTTTTTATGAAGCTTATATTCTAATGATCTTAGACAGCAGGGATGATGGGTAAAAAGTCAGGGATATAGAAGACAATTTTATACGTAGATATTTTGAGGGAATAGATTGCAATGTCAGAGTGAAGTCCAGTGGAACTCAGCCACTCACAAATACAGAGATTCTCTGTGGTTGTATTTGCACAATCCGTCCAGGTCAAAGATCGAGAGAAAAGCAGCAGCCTGGTTTTTACTGAGTGTAAGAAGAGACAGCGGTCTCATATTCAAGAGAAAGAGAATTTCTCACATGGCAGTCTAAGCTGGACTGACGTGAGCAAAAGCTTTACGTCAACATTGAGCTGCTCTGAGGGAGCACCAATATTGGACTCTCTAAAAGGTTTATGTTCAACATTTTAAAAATGTTTTTATTGATTTACTTTAATAGAGGCAAACTATAAACATAGAATAAGAATAGTTTAGTATTATTAATTAACATACTCAAAATACAAAATAAATACAAAAATAAATTCATACTACATTTTGAGTCATATTTTGCTCAGACAAATCACTAGCCTTCTCTCTCTCATCTTCACCTATATAGGTGATAATAGGTGGCGATAAGCTGTGATGTTGAACTTGATGTTGAAGTGGGAATGCAACTGCCAGATCAAAGCTTCCCAGTGGCTGTGTCATAGGTGAGAAAAACCAGTTAGAAATGTGGACGGATTGATGGTGACCAGTGGGCAGAGATCTACGACAACACTTTTTGCATACCATCACTCGGTTGCCTGGATGCTCCGAAACTGTTGGAGGACCACTACATAGCAGAGTCCCTGGTCTTTAAAGCTCTGGGCTGTTAACTAATGGAAACACCCCGAACCTGGGACTCTAACTCTGACACCCTACAAACCTACTATTATGATACATATCATTTTCACTAAAGGAGGCAGAGGATTAACTGAAAATTTGACACAGAGAGCAGTAAAGAGGAAATGGAGATTTAGAAAGGGTAAGGGGAGACAGAGAAATAACCCATAGCAGTGCTAAGGTAATACTAGCCTAGGCTAGCTATCCCTTACTACCAGAAATTAAAACTGTATTAAGTTCCCAGTGGTGCTTCTGGAAAGTTAGGGTAACTTAGAGATATCACATAAAAGAGAACTTAAGTCAAACAGAGAGCCTGAACAGCACCACAGATGGTAAATGAGCAGTCAAAAGAGGAGGTGAATTCAACATCTGTCAAATCCTCAGTCTCCATGATTGATTATGTAATTTATATAACATGTACACATAAAAAGGGGGGAAAAAAAATGTCATATAATTAAAATTTCTAAGGCACTACATATTGGGTTTTCATTATTTGTTAAGGTATAAGGGGGGATGGTGACCTAGTGGTTAGGGCATTGCACTTGGGATCCAGACGTCCTGGGTTCAAGCACCACCCCCACAGACTGCTACTTTGGGTCCTGAGCAAGACCCTTAATCACACTCTACTCCCTGGGCACAGCACAATGGCAGCCCACTGCTCCCCAAGGGGATGGGTTAAATGCAAAAAACAAATTTATTTCACTTTTTTAAAAGCACTGGTATGCTTAAAAAGTCAGCAACTATAAATGTAGATTAAAAAAAAGAAAAGTAATCACTGACTTTCTCATACCGCATCCAAAATAGTTGCCCTGGGCTGTGTTCTACATTTCTGCGGCTATATGATTACGCTGCTGGAGGACATAGGGACCATTTTTCATCATTCTGGTTTACTCCATATCTTATTTTCCTATTCTGTAGTATTTGTTAGTACCACACATAACTATTTTCTCTTTTTTCTTTTCATAGTACCCTCATGTGGTCTGCTCCTGTTTGACTGTGACCCCATTCTGGATTGTTTACAGAACGTGGGCTTTTATTTTCAGTATATTCCTGTTTCTACAGCTGTGATTAACTGTATGTGTTCTTATCCTTTGACATGGGAAACTGGCTCGGAGTTCATCTGTGTCTTTCCTGGACGGGGGCTACCTGAGGAGCTAGTTAACTCCTTGAAGCCTATCTGACCCTGGTTCTGCTCGAGGTTTCTTCCTATTAAATATTTTTTCCCCTCCAGTGATGCTGCATGCATGCCCTATGTGAAGGGTTGTTGAAGAGTCGATGACAAAAGACAAAGATGACCAAGATAGGAAGGTCAAAATTTAATTATTGATATCCAACATCTTAATGACACCAAGAACCATGAATTTACTTTAAAGGTAAAAGTCTTACTCAGAAAAGTTAAAATATTCCATACTTTTGTTCCTTTTTCAGGCAGTTCTTTCCTTTCAAAACTGCTAAATATGTTGTCTTTTACCACCTACCAGTACTCATATTTACATTTAAGTATTATTCAACAGTAGGTGCATTTGCACATTCCACACTTTAAACGTGCTTACAAAGATAAACAGCTGAGAATCATTTTAGGGTGTTGACATGTGGGCTTTGTTCCCAACAGGTCTAAATCTGGCTGTAAAGAGGGGGGTAGGTCTCTGTTAAGAAGTTTGACTTAACCATGATTAACAAATGGTTGCAGTGTTTATTGCATATAAGACATGGGATGTACAAGTGTATACAGAGAAAACTGTCAACCGCTTGCCATATTAGTACCAATTAAACTAATTGCAAGGGGGATAATAAATTTTAAATTTACCACATAATGAGAAACATTGCTTTGTCACTAATTTACTTCTGTTCTTTCCATTCAAATATTTTACATTGGACCAATATGTTTGCTCTCTTATCAGTATTTGCCAACTTTAAATTCTGTGGCGGTTCTGTGAAATGGACACCGGTTTTAAAAGAGGCAAGATAAAGCATGATTGAAGCGTGAACCACAAATGACCAGCCGAATCATGCGACTTCCAGCCTGGCAATGTCCCAATGAACTCATTTCAAATGGGGTCAAATGATTCTCTGAGACCTTATTTGACTAAGAGGTGCACACTATTGAACCAGCAGCAGCTCAGTCCTAAGAAGGGAAGCTCATTTTGGGCTTGGGAGACTTCCAAGTGTGAAATTATTAAAATTGATCTGATTTGAGACTGAAAATATGACAAGTCCTCTGAAATGCTGTTTTTGAACTATTTAGTTGCAAAGCCTTTTGTTTTAAATTATTGTGCATGATTTCATAATTAGACTTCATTAGCAGAACAAAACTAAATTGGGTTGCCAAACTTGAGCAAATTTACACAGCAGTCATTTGTACACATTTAAACATACCTAGCTCCAAAACTTTAAGCCCTACAAACTTCTCTTTGGTGAACTGTAGTATTCAACTCAAAAAAAAAAAAAAAAAAAGCACTTTCCACATCCCAAACATGGCCTATGGCTTGCAGCAGTTGAGGTGAAAGCTGGCATGAAAAAGCTTGTTATTGCCTCTCCTCTTCATAAGCCTACTCAGAGCCAGCTGGACTCAAAATCAGGACAGCCACACCACTTTGTTTGTGCAATATTAGATTCTTTGTGCATCCCCTCTGAATGTTTGGTCTTACACAAGTCCATTTAAACATTGCTTAACCATGTTCTAAAATGCCAACTCAAGTAAGCACTTGTGCATACTACTGGAGATTTGAGGGGAAAAGTAAACCAATCATTACCAAACAATATATTAAAACCACAGAATAGTTTTAATAGGAAAGAAGCTAAATCAGTGCCAATTTCATTGAAATTGGCCATTGATAAATCACTGATAAATATTGAAAATTAAGACATTCAAAAATCCTCCTTGGAAGAATAGAAGTCAAAAGTAAAGAATTTTAGGTGCAGCATTTTTTTCCCCCCCTAAGTGATAGGATTTTGGTGTTACTGCAGTTCCTTCAGCTACAATGTTACTACAAACTGGCATGGTTTTCACATGGAGGGGGGGGGGTAAAGTAATTGACTCTTCAGTCTTTTACTGATTTAGCTCCATTAGCTTACAAACAGGTAAATGAAGAAAGGTAACAGGAAAATGGAAGGACGATAAAGGAGCCTTCAGTTTTGCCCTGTCGATGCAAAAACAGTGCCATCTTGTAGTGACATAGTAACTGAAGGAACTCTGCGACAAAAATAATCCCCGATTAGAAAAATGCTGCAGCTAAAAATGACAGCAAGTTATACATTTTGACTTTTTAGAAGGAATTTTAAAATTTTAGCGTTGGATTTTCAATGCCAAATCTCATTTTCTATGTCATTACAAGCCATCACATGGGGTAAACAATACATTTGCATCACAAATATAACATGAAACAAAAACTTTGAAAAGATTAGTTTATTTAATATCACATATATATATATATATATATATATATATTTTAAGACAAGGTCAAATGTAACAAAAACCTTTAAGTTGTAATGACTCCTTCCTTTATACAACTTTTAAAAGGCACACCTATAGAACATTGGGATCGCTATGCATGCACATGATCCCATCACATAAAAGCAGTTGCAACTCTACAGTTCAGTGGATAACATACCTGATATAACACCTGTAACAGCAAAACAAGTATTGCTTTAATTATTGCTGTAGTGAAAGTGAACTATGTGCATAATTTTATAGAAAGTATTCAAGCAGCATGTAGAAAGCATACTGAAGCTAGACACTTGCAAGATATGTTAAAGTACAGTTTGCATAATTGTAGATATTGTCAGATCCAAAAATACTTTTAAATACCTTTTGTTTCAGACAAAAACTGTTATTGTACATGATTTTAAAACAAGTCATTTGAGACGGGTGTTTAGAGAAGTTTGTCTTAACACCTATGGGCTAAATATGGTCGATCTGTGTATAAGAAACAGTGTTGCGCTAGAAAAAAAATTACTTAAGTGTCAAACAATGTTAACTTGGTCACATCTATAATTTTCCCAATAGTGGAACTAATGTGGTTTCATAAAATTCTAATTATTCGAAAACCTCCAAACTTGTGTGCATAAATGACATGGCCCTAGAAATCCACCTAGTTAACCTGAAATAATTCTTACAAGCAATCTAGGGATAATGTTTCAACCAGATCTGGCCCAATGAATTAAAAGACAGTGGATGAAATTAATTTACCTGTTCTAATCCAGAAGTTTCTTCTAGTCTGTTTATTCCTTTAGTCATTGCCTGAATGCTTTACTTGAAACCCCAGAATTTTTGAACAAGCAGGTTCTCTCTGTTGCCTGTATCCAAGAGCCGATTACCACACTCCTCCCAGCGACACACTTCTCCCCTGTCCACTACTATAAACTTCCACTCCACATGACTCTCTGCAGGCAAGCTGACCACAGTGGCCCAAAGCCCATCTTTGGCCTTTTCCAGGGGAATAAAATCCTTCCAGTTACCTAGCTCTTGATTGTTTCCTGTCACAGCCACCTTCTGGAATGGAGTGCACGTGACATAATGGGTCTGGAAGGTCACGTTGACATTTTGGGGCATGGGGTGGACCGTCAGGACCCTTTTGCCAGATTCTACGAGTTTGTCAGTTGGGGAAAATGTGTTGGATTCTTTTGCCTCACTGACAAGGGGTACAGTAGTATTTGTACCAGCAGCATCTGAAGAAAAGCTTAGGATGTTTTCTACAGACTCGGGATCTGTTTGGGGAACAGAAGGCTTCATCCAGGGTAGGACTTGATCAGTACCATCTGTAATCCACTCATTGTTGTCCATAGTGGCCTCCATAATATTAATTTCAGTAGTTTTTTCCTCTTCCTCTCCATCCTGTTTACCTTCTATAACAATCTTTGCTTTCATCTTTTCCAGATCTTCACTTACACAGACAGTGGGTATATCTATGGAGAGTTTGTTTACTTCACTTTTGAGACTTTCCATCTCATGACACTCATTGATTGTACAAGGGTCATCATTGGCTTCTGTGCAATAGATGCCTGTCTGTAAATCATTCGAACAGTCAGGTACCACATGTGCTGCCTGGCCTTCGGACTGTGAACGATCACCTATATCCAGCTGCAAGCTCTCAGAGGTCAAGGGACACTCGTTATCAGGCAAGTCAGGGCTGATTGTCATGCTTGAAACCCCACTCTCATCTCCATCATCAGGAGAGGACAAACTTAACTTCATTTGCTCTTCGTCCAACAGCTGATTTTTACCAGTTTGGGGTTCTATGCTCTCAGCCATGACTGTGGTGGGAGTAGTGGGAACCTCAAGATCTTCGTTTCTCAGTTGTTCAGTTTCTTCTTTAAAGGATGAATCAGGACAAGACATTTCTGTAGAGACAGATTCAGCAGTACTGACCTCAACTGCATCAGGCTGTCCATTGGCCAAAGACTGAGCTTCAGCATTTTCTTTAATAATCAGAATTTCATTCACCATTTCACATTCCCTTTGAGGACTCATGCTAGCAAGAGTAAGGTTGGAATTGTTTGTAGCAGCCAACTCGGGATTAACTTCATCTTTAGTTTTATCTACTGGTTGTTGATCATCTAGGGGCAGGGTCTGATCTCCATCCTGAGGAATTTCAGGCTCAACTGACAAATATGGTAGATTAGTACCGAGCACCAGAGATGAGGTTTCCTTTGTTTCACTACAAGAAAACTGCTTGACATCTGTAATGTTCTCCTTACTGCAGTTGGACAAGTCCTGTTCAAGCCGTTTTTCGCTAATCAGCAAAGTATCATTACCTGATAACTCTCCAAGCTGGGGAAGATTGTTTTCAGCCACTTCTATTATAGGAACCTGTTCAGCATCTGCATCAGTAGGGAGGGGCATTGTTAGACTTTTATGCTGTTCCATGTTCTCAGACAAGTTGTTTGCAGGCTGTGAATTAATAAGGATGTCAGTAACTGGTATATTATCATTGTTGGTAGGCAGAGGAGACTCATGCATGTCAATCGTTTGTTCCTTAAGGTAATCATCTGTGCTGATGGATTCTGAGATGGCTTTGTTTCCTTTTTCATCCCCTTCATTCAGATTCCTAGCATTTTCTTCACAGCATACTGGGTTGTTCTCAGCATATTGATTTTCTTCTCCCTGACAAGGCATCTCCTTTAACTTATCCTCTGTAGCGGACTCCATATTACAGTCCTTTACTTTACAGGTGTCATCTTGCAAACTCTTAGTGGCTTCATTTTCTAGAGGAACAGTGGGTTTCTCCTCCACACGTGAAGCACTGGACAGTTTATCTGGTTTCACTTCTCTTTCAGGTAAACCAGACTGAAGATTGTTCTCTGCTGCAACACGACGATTCCTCAGATTAGCCATATTTAGATTTACATCTGGGTCCTTGGTGATCAAGTCCTCTTCACAGAAATCTAAAAAGACAACAAATTTCACATTCAATAGAACTACAAAAATTTAGAATACATTCCTCACACAGTGCAACGCAAAATATTTTGATAATTTCAAACCATGTTTAACTAGCTTCAAATTACGAATTTGTCAGTTTTTGATTTCAGTTGTCAATTACACAGAGACTTAATTAAAACTTAGAAAATTAGATCGAATTTAAAGCTTCAATCAAAATTCTTAATTTGCTACAAAAAAAGGCAACCAAACCATTGTAGTCAAAAAAGCTGATTTTGCAGATGTGGTATAATTTGGATACCTTTAATTGAATATAAGGATAATCAGTCATTTTCTAAACACTTTGAAGCAGGATAATGCTAAATGTTATATAAAATGAGTTATTAAAAAACCTGGATAGCCTATTGAGCTATAGCTAAAGCCTCTGCCAATATGCTCAGTTTGGAATGGTTGTCCTGGGCTTTAATTGTTTTCATATGTATACATATACAAATATGCATTGGTTTCAATACATTACGAACATTCTACATACTCTAGCTGTTATCAGTAGATTGCAAAAAGTTCAGGTAAAAGTTGACATTTTAAATACAAATAGTAGCACATTTTTATAGTAGTGTAAAAATACAGCAGCTGGTGGAAATAAATAACTTTTTCCAATTTGACATTAAAGAGGGAAAAAAAGGGGGGGGGGTTTATAATAACTGAACTTTATTGATCTAACATTGGAGAAATTTACCTTTGAATTTAACCCATCCCTTTGGGGAGCAGGGGGGCTGCCATGGTAAGGCACCCAGGGAGCATTTAGGGGTTAAGGGTCTTGCTCAGAGACCAAGAGTGGCAGTCTGTGGGAGTGGGTTTCGAAATCACAATCTCAGGATTCCAAGCTCTATGCTCTAACCACTAGGCCGCCAACTAAAAAGTTCTCAAAACATGGCAAATAGCCACACAATGAGAATGTGTCAATTTGCCATACTTAAATCTAGGTTGCCGCAAGGTCATAAAAATTATGTGCAATTTCCTGGAAAAAAATTAAGTTAAAACTAAGATCACTGGAGGTGGCTAAAGTCATTGGCTTAAAACGCTATTCAATCACAAAATTAGCAATTTAACAAAATTTTTATTGTATTAAAAAAAAATTTGAACAGCGTCTGGACTGTTAGGGAAAAATAAGATGTTTCATTCAAATAGTTGTAAAATAAGCTTCCTGTGAAATAGTTTTAAACAGTAACTTAAAGAGGGCTTGGAATGTGCAAACTTTGACTGGTATCAACTCAACAGAACAACACTTTCTGTAGTTTTAAGACTTGTAATAGAATGTTTTACTAGTCAATTAAATTTAGCTTTAAGGAGTAAATTAATACTTTATTCACAACTTCTAAATTACATCCAAGTTAGAAGATTTGAAACCAGCATTCTAACTTTAATATGCATCATAAGTTTAAAAGCAAATCTTCAGACTTCATAGATCATTACGCATGTGCGTAATGACTTAAACCGTTTTAAAACCTCCAAGAAGCAACAGTTTTCCCTTGACATGGAGCCTTACCTGTTGATTCCACCAGCTCATGCGCCTCATCCCCGGTACTCGGCTCTTTCTCTGGCTGCAGCAGCGACGTGTCCCTCACCGCTCCGGGGCTGCAGCTGCCAGGGTCTCCCGGTCCAGCCTCGGCCTTCCTCCGTTTCCCCTTTACGGTCCGATAAATGATCAAACCTGCCACCACGGATACCATGGCAATCACCGCTACAGCCACGGCGGGACCGTGATGTCCGATCATGCAGAAGAGCGAGGCCAGATCCGTGCGTTTCTCCATCGCTACTGGGTTGTTGTTTTTCAGCTGCATCACAGGATTTAACCAACCAAAGCTGAACCACAATTAAACGTGTCAGTGCTGATGAATTCCCTCTGCTGCACACTACCGCGGACCGTGACTCCTGTCTACCCCAGCCGTCAGTAACTGGAGACTCCTAATTGCTCCTAAAGAGCTGTGAGTGGCTGCAGGTGCGAGCTGCTGATTGGCTGAAATTAGTCACGGGGCACTGATTTCATTGATGAAATGAGGAGAGAACGTGTGCTTAGAAATTCACCACTGTTTGATGTGATCAATGCATATTGTCTTTCATTGATTATATTGAGTTTTATCGAAAACAATAGTTTTAGAGTTGGATAAACATGTTATTCAGATGTTTCCAGTTCGCAATTAATTAAACTACTTTAGTCTACTTGAGCTTTTATTGGATTTATTAGACAAAAAACAAACAAACAAAAAAAACATTCTTAAAGTGAGTCAGTGCAGGTAAAAATAGCAGGTTGTATTAACTTTGAAGGCAGCACACACTTTATTTATTATTAGAATCTTTGAAATATACCTTTGACAAAATTATGAACGGATTATTCTGAAATTTCGTTTCTCCCTTGAATATAAACTGTGTGGGAGATTAACATAATACTGCCTGTTAAATAGCTCCACCCAGTGTAAATGTGTGGTAATTACCAGAAATATCCTGAAGACTGGGGGCTCTTTTAGAGGACACAAGAAACACAAAGGAAAAAAATCACCTAAAGAAAGTTTATCTAAACAAGAAAGATGCTGTTATCATGCATTCCAACCCTCAATCTATTCACTTCTACAGGTCTGTGTGCAGTCTGTGGCCAAAGGTCAGTCCTTTTTTCCACCTGCAGGATATAGACAGGTTGATCAGGTTTGATTATTTTTATTTATTAATATGTACATTCAAATTTAAAAATCTATTTTGAAAAAAATACATTTTTACAGGTAAAACAGGATTAAAAGTAAAGGGAAGAGAAATTTAAATAGGTGTGTTAAATGAAATACTAAGTCTGTTTTTGTGTGTGTATGTGTGTGTGTTAAAGAGGCACTATATATTCTTCAAATGATACTGCAATCTATGGCCAAATCACAGATATTCAATATTCTTCTGCTATCTGATAGGTTGTGTCATACTTAAGAATTTTTATTATTATTTTTTTTTGGGTGCTGGTTGCTTCTTTGTATACACAAAATCCATCTTGAAATTAATGCTTCGATTCTTTGCCAGGTTTGATCCATTTAACGATGAACTACTAAGGTGTCAATCTGCGCATCAAACAATGTTTTAGTCATAAAAATCTAGTGTTAAAAATTACAAAATGTATCTTTATTGCTATGCAAGATTAAAATGAATTAGTTGGAATTATGGTAATAATATTCAAGTGCATGACACCAGATCAATAGCATAAATAATAACAATACCTATATGAGTCCAAGAGTATTAGCAATTAGATAAACATTTTATGCAAGGACGATAGTGTAAGAGCTTATTTTAAAGACCAAGATTACACAAACAAGAAAAGATAAAAAAAAAAAAAAAAAAAAAACAACCATCCACAAAGTGTACTAACAAAAAAAAAAAAAAAATGTACAAAGAATGTGAGAAAGCATATGTGCACAGCAGAAACATGCATAATCAATGCATAAGTACTATTCCCTGACCTTGTAGTTGCAGAGCAAGAGTGTTCACATTGTAGCTCCGGCAAAAATAGTTGGATTGAAAATACAAAACACAAGTCTATTTGTATAAGAGTCCTGTATAAATGCATTTTTGCAGTTTTTTCAAAAGATGTAAAAGGTTTGCAAAATGACATGGTTCAGCTAAATTGTTGGCTTGTGCAGCCATACTCAATACACTTAAATATGATTGATTTTCAAAAATGTCCTAATTCACTAAGTGAAACATAATATATAAAATAAAATACATCTCTCTTTTACGTTCTTATGTCTGCTTAACATGTTCTTTTCTGCTTAAAGCTATAGAAAAAAATAGTATTTAAATAATACAACACATCATTAAAATATGATGTTTTTCTAATATAAGTTTGTGATGTTAGAAAATGTATATTCAGTATATACTCCAACTTTTGTATTTTCAAAAGGTTCCCTTGAACTGACAAATAATGCATTATCATATTTTTCAGGATTAAAAACAAGGGGCCCTAAACATAATGTTAGCTGGATTAAGTTCTGGTGTTCAGCCACAAGATGGCAGCAACAAACAGTCAGTGTTGGAAGAGAAAGACCCCATCCACATTGACCATAGGGCACCAAGGGTTTGTCTAATTAAGACAGAACTTGGGACAGGGGAATAAAAGAACATGACTAAATCCCAATAGAAGGGACAGTTGCTAAGCTTTTGATTGTCAGCCATTACAGAAAGTCAAACTGAGAAGGTAAAAATATAACTGACCACGATAGATGTGTTTGTTACGAGTTGTGTTAAGGCTATAATTTACAAATCTGATAATTATGGTATATCTGCGGAAAAAAAACAAAAAGATACAATTAATAAAAAGCCAAGAAGAGAAAAAGTACAACTGAACCCAGAGTTTGTCAGATCCATCCTAAATTTAATTAAAAATAGACAAAAAAAAATTAATAACAACCCAAAAAATAAAATGAATCTGCTAGCTTAGATGCAAACCCCAGGCTTCTGTTTGTGTGCCGAAGGCATTCTGCGGCTACAATATAGATCACCAAAACACTAGTATGTGATGCTAAGATATGTCACAGCACACATGCCTCTTCAGTGTCCAAAAGTACGGAGTCCAAGGCCCTTAACTAGGGGCCCTCCTTTCAACGTACAAGCGAAACAAGTGTTTGGATCCATATTGCCAGCAATAAATTGGAGCTATCCCCAGTGCATGTTGGACCAAGCAGGGTCCAACTATGTCACCGGTCTTGTTCATAACTTTCTTCGACAGGATTCCTAGACATAGTCAAGGGCCAGAAGGGGTCCAATTTAGGAACCATAGGATTTTGTCCCAGCTTTTTGCGAATTACGTTACTCTTCTGGCCTCTTTCTGCCAAGACCTACAGCATGCACTGGAGCAGTTAAGAGCTGAGTGTAAAGTGGTCGGGATGAGGATGCGGCCATGGTTGTCAACCAGCAAAAGGTGGCTTTCCCCTAACAGGTTGGAGGGGAGTTGGAGGAGACAATGGAGCGGGAGATAAATAGACAGATCACTATGGCTGCTGAGAGTTGCCTTCGACTGTGCTGTTAAACCATTATTACCTCTGCCAAAGGATAAACTGTGCATGAAGCAGCTGATGTTACCAACTGTTGTGGGAGTACTAGAAAACCTCATTGTTGGTTTTCCAGATTTGAAATATTATTTAAAAAAGAACAAAACACAAAAAAATCTACTGATTAGAATCATAGAGGATAGATTCCAGGCTTTTACTTGCCAGTTTATTTAAACAGTGTTTAGTACAGGGTGAAAAATAAACTTAAGCCTATTTAATTTCCAGAGCTAGAGTCATGGTACATTTTTAAAAACCTCGAGATCTTCACCTCAAAATAAGACAAAATTATGTGTGATTTTACAAACAAAAAAGTAAACCTGTTATTTTAAATTCTGGATGTAGCACACATATCATGAATGCCCTTGGCTAAATGCAAATTAGTGATCTTAATCTAGATTAATCTAGAACAAGATTACAGTGAGATTAAGCTAAATTAAAAAAAAAATCTATGCCCACCACTGTTTTTTATATAATCTTTCTGAATACTCTCAGTCTTGTGTGAAAGCTATTTATTCTTTGAAGCTTATTTGTATGACATGTGGCTTTGAGCATCAAACTGGACTTGAATATCAATTGTTTGAATAAATGCTGCCTTGTTTTACAAGTAATATGCCACCTGTGACACCTGTGAAATAGTGCCCATGCTCCATAAAAACATAAATATGAATTAAAAGGGAAACTAATGGGAAAGCAAAATTCTGGGGTTATTAAGCATGCTCCCATTTCACCATCTGGTAGGTATTCTGATAAAAGGGCCTCAGCTGTTATCTCTACTTCTCTGGGGGAAATGTTAATTCTCCAACCCTTCCCAGTCAAGATTCCAAAACTGCAGAGTCTTGCTATTGCAAATCTAACACATACATTTCTCCATTGAACATTTTCTTTTTTGGTAAGAATCATATTTAAGAAAAATGTTGAATCTTTTTTTCTTTTAAAGGTTGAATAATTGATTTAATTGCATTGTTAACAAGAGAGAGGGAGAAGTTGAGGTTCCCTTTGATAAACTGGAAGTTGCAAAATTCTGTTGCGAAGCTTTTGGCTTCATGCAACTCCTTGCATTACTCACTGAATTCTCTTGTAGTAATTTTCTGTTTATTACAGAATATTGTTTATATATTATAGAACCACTGGACTGCAAATCGGGCAATACTGGCAGTTGCCCAATAAGCCGACAGTGATTACTTTATATATATATACATATAGGGATACAATGACTTTTGTGATGGAAATAAATAATATACCCATGTTGTAATCTCAGCGTGTTTCCACAACGTGTTTCCATTCAAGGTAACTGACTTAATTTGTCAAACTATGGTATACACAATTAATTATTCAATAAAAGCTATTAGGGATGTCCCGATACAACTTTTTGAATTCCATTACGATACCAATTTTACAGCTTTGAGAATTGACCAATACAGATATTGACCTTAAACGATATTAGACTGAATCATACCTGCTTTTATTACTTATTTTTTACTGTAGAGTGTTATAAAAGGCTTGATCTAGTAATATCACTAAAACAGAAAACAAAAGCCAACAAAAAATCATATGAAAATAACTGACACATGTAAAATTGACCAGTAAGTTATATAAAGTTTTAACAGAATCAGAGTGGATTTTTTTTTTTTTTATGAGTATGATAGTATCAGAGATTTTAGATGCTGGGCAATATAATCTGATATCCGTTTTTTGGCTAAACTTGGACAGATATCCGATATTAATGTGGGATCTGGACATCCCTAAAAAGTATTTTTAATGTTGGTAGTAACTCTTGACAACGGTAATTTCAGTCTTTCATAAACGCTATATTTCTTATAGTTAAAAATAGTCTGAAGTTTTTACTTTTTATGGATATGTCTGGGCTATAGACTATTCTGTACATTACTTTTTAAATG